CCCATTGTGTAGCTTTGTGCTTAATTACAAACAAACAAACAAATGCTTTCAAATGTCCCAAATGAAACTATCGCGAGATATTATTCGATGGCTTTTCAACCTTCCAGATAACAGAAAAGCTAGTATAAATGTATCGGTCATCTTTTCGGATTGTTTTACTCCTGAGGCAGTTGTTCGATCCAAATTCCTGCTTCTGTTCCTAGTTTGTTGATGATGTGACTATATGGAAGAGTTCGTACACTCCAACCACTGCCGCAACAACTCAACAACCGCGACTAAACGAAACAGAAAACTACTATAACATTTGGAGAATCAAGACAAATGCTCCAAAAACAAAAGTTAATTGAAATTATTTATAAAATCAATAATAATAATAAAAAAGATTAGACAGACCCCAAAATTATACTCAACGGAACCCTTCTCCACATAACTACATCAGCCAAAATCCTGGGTATAATCTAAACTAAATTGGACCAGACACATAAATGAAATGAAATATGGCAAAGAGCTAATTATGTCCGACGTCTGACTGGCAACAGCAGGGGTATAACAACTGAAAACAAAACAAAAAACCTGTACACGTCCAGTCGCGGAGTATGTTTGCCGTATATGGTTAAATGTAACTAAAACATAATTAAGTAAACTACAGAAAATATAACCCAGTAATCACAAAAGCATAAAGAATTCCCAGAACTACAAACACGGCATTTCTGCAGAACTACGAAAATATCCCTATGTTGTCGAACAGACTTGGTAGATCAATAGATAATTTCAAGAAAACCCTAGACAAAAATGCTACAGTATGCACAACGAATAACTTTATCATACACAAAACCTAAGTACGTTTTCCCACTAAATTTAGTAAACCCGTTATCTAACCTACGACCACCTGCAACTGGGCAAACCGGTAGCTAGATATAATGGTAGTTTTATTTTAAATGAGTATTTATGTAAATAATAGAATTAGTATCGGCAACTATAGAACTGTGTGTGTGAGAATAAAACTTTATGTTCATAATGAATGATAAAGGCGAAATATTTGCTACTAAAAATAGAAAAATAAATCATTGTTGTTACTTCCATGTATATGGCCCGAACAGGACCTCTCGCATGTGCAACAATCAACGAACATGGCCTGGTGGTTAGGGCACTCGTCTCGCTGCGGGTTCGAATCTCTGTCACCGAACATGCTTTTCCTTTGAGCCATGGAGTTGTTATAATGTGAGGTTCAATCCCACTATTCGTTGGCAAAAAGAGTAGTCCAAGATTTGATGATAACTAGCTGCCTTCCCTTTAGTTAATCACTGCTAAATTAGGGATGGTTAGCGCAGATAGCCCTTGTGTAGCCTTGCGCGAAATTCCATAACAAACTAAACATATCTACGTACAATGGTAGCGCTCATGCAGTAGCTGCATGTTATAAAATATAGATTTTTATAGCTACCGGATAGTGTGGAGAAATGCGCAGGATTTATCGAACAGGACCAAGCAATCAAACAACAGTCAAGGAGGGAGTTAGTGGTCCCGGCTCTCTTGACCAAACAATAACCAGAGAGAAGCTTTGGATCCATAAACCTATCGTTGACCCACTAGGAAGAGCTTGGGAAAAAAATACATTAAATATTAGAACATTTTAAATTATTTACTGAAAATACTAACGTTTGTTACTATTATTGAATTTCTTTATTTGGTTATCGAGACCGGTGCCCGGCATGGCCAGGTGGATAAGGCGCTCTACTCCCAATGCGGGGGTCACGGGTTTGAATCCGCGTCCGCT